GAATGCAAGCGGGGTCAAGAATCCACCTGTCCATGAGCCTCAAAGATTCAAGGACCGAAATGAAGCCAAGAAAGGGGGCAAGTTTTCCTCTAGAGCACCTAACAAAGAGGTAAAGGAAGCAATGGCAGTCAATGCAAGACCCATCAAACTCAAGGGAAACACAAGCGAAAAAGCTGTGGAAAAGAAAGAAGTCCCTCAAGACAAGGGGCAAAGAAAGTTAACCTTGAAGGAGATGCAAGCCAAACAATATCCTTTTCTTGAATCTGATGTTTCTGGAATTTTTGACGACTTGATTCGGGAACAACTTATCGAACTGCCGGAGATGAAACGACCTGAAGAAGCAAGACAAGTTGACAACCCAAAATACTGCAAGTATCATCGTCTGGTGAGTCACTCCATCAAAGATTGCTTTGTCTTCAAAGATAGAGTTATGCAGCTGGCACGACAAGGCAAGATATCGCTTGAAGAAGACAAAGGGACTGCGAACTTTGCTTCAATTGTGACCTGCGAGGAAGTATATCAAAGTTTCGCTTGTAATGTGACGAGCGAGCAAGATGATGTCCCAAATGATGAGGAGTCGACTGATGACAAAGAACGATGCGACCCTGAAGACAATGATGCAGCAGTCATTTTTACAGATGAAGACTTTATGTTGGGCTCAAAACCCCATAATAGGCCTTTATTCGTAATTGGTTAACTCGCGAGAAAAAGGTGAATCGCATATTGATAGATGGAGGTTCTGCTGTGAACATTTTGTCTCTGCGTACTCCAAAAGAGCTGGAGGTCCCGACAGATGAACTCTCAAATAGTCGGTTAATGATTCAAGGCTTTAACCAAGGGGGGCAACGAGCTCTAGGCATAATTAGATTGATGTTAGTAATTGGGGAGATGACTTCAAATGCTCTTTTCCATGTGATAGATGCCAAAACCTCTTATAATATGTTATTAGGGCGTCCTTGGTTGCATGAGTATGGAGTGGTGCCTTCTACTTGGCATCAATGTTTCAAATACTGCCAAGATGGTGTAGTAAGAAAGGTTCTTGGAGACGATAAGCCTTTTACTGAAGCCGAGTCTTATTTTGCTGATGCTAAGTATTATTTTGAAGAGGTTAAGGCTGTTGGCACTAAAGACGTTCCCATCAAACAACCAAATGGAGCCAAAGAGAAGAAAGCCAAGAATCTTGATGGGAATGACCCTCTTGATGGGCTGGTGTTGCCGTTACCTAGTCTCGATGCCAAGAAACCAATCACGCAACCCCTGGGAAAGTTTGTCTGCCCAATCAAAGGAGCTAAGATGGAGCACGGAGGGGAGCTTCAAAACTCTAAGTATTGCGACCCAAAATCATATAAACTTCTTGTCAAATCTGGATACGATCCAAAAGAAGTGAGTACTTTGGGAACACTTATTCCGCAAGCAGCAAAAACTCAAAAGAGGGATTCTGGAGTGGCAAAAACTAGAGTTGGTCTCGGATTTGCGGCACCAAATCCAGTTCGGATTGCCATAAAACGAGTCAATTCTAATCATGTGTCCGAAGAAGGGTTTTCATCCACTGATCATTTGAAGCATAGAGAAAGAAGATCGGTATTTGAACGTCTCGGACCCATTCAAGAGTTAGAGTCCAAAAGAACTAGCCATCAAAGACTTCGTATTCGAAAGATGGTAAGATACGGGAAGATAGAGAGAAAGTTCCACGAGCTTCGAAACTTGATACCGTCACGAATGAAGAGACATACCACATTGATTGTTTCATGTGGTAATGTCTTGCA